AAACTTAAAATTAAAGATAATTTTTCTCAGCAAAACTGTGGATTTCAGTCTTGGATTATATACATCAACATAGGAACGAGTACATTAAAAAACATACTCTTTTACACAATGTCCCTTTACTGAACATATGGTTTGTAACCTTTATCTACCTCTTACTAACCCATGTCATGTCTAATCATTCAGACATGAGTATGCTGTAACTCTTTAAGGATGTTTTTCCTTGCCAACATTATTGGCTGATGCCAAAGTCCATTGCTCCAGTAATCAGAAACACCCTTTTATAAGTCTGTGTGTACGCTTATAAAATGTACACACATCTACATGCTCTAGCAGTTATTTTCATTAAAACAAAAATCACGGGCAACATGCCTTGAAAGAATGAATGAATTGCTTTACTAAGAAAAGCCTGTTTAATAGGAATTACAGCACCATCTGGTGTATACATGCACAACCCCATGTTTAGATCTCATTCAGAAACTGTTTGATTCATTAAATCTTTTCAAGCTGGGAGTACACCCTAATCAAAGTCTTCTATACAGGACAGTGCTGGAAACTATTACTTTTAAAAAGTAATGTACTACAGTTATGTTAGTGATCATTTTTTTTAATTAGATGTGTTATTTTACATACGATCTATACACACAATGCAGATTTTAAAAATGATCAATTTAAAAATTTCCCCTAACTTCTCAATTTAAAAAAAAAATGTAATCCTTTATACAAGTAACTTGTACCTACTTTTGAAAATAAATCTTCCCTAAACTCTATATTCAAAGTCTCGGAAAGAGGTCACAAAAAAGTTCAATCAAACATCAGACAACACCAGAACACAACCTCATAAAAAGCATTAGCATTTTGAGCTGCACATTTTATCTTACCCCAATTAATCATTGTGTGAGTTATTTGTTCATGCACAGTGAAGCGCTTTAATCATAGTACAGTGATAGTTTAATCACAATCCAGTGGAGGATAAAGTGGATCTACCCGTGTACATATAGGTGCTTAGGCACCCCTTGGAATAAAAGGAGCTAGATCAATTACATTTTAAACCGAATTATCATTAATACTAAAATGCATTGAAAATTTATCACGCTGTTAATTTAAGACACTCATTTATTGTGGTATTAATACCTCACAGTATATATATAACACAGGGCACCAATATCGGACCCACATGTAATATTTGATGAGAATGGTATATCACACCTGTACTAACAGTGCAGATAAGTGTTGTGAGTAATACGCGTGTCACAAGTGCTCATTTTATTCTGACTGGGCGCAGTATATCTTAACATAAAATATTACTCATTGAAATCTCTCCACACCCACCAAGTTCAAAAGGAAGTGTGGTTTTACAATTGGACAAAAAAAGTGCTTCAAGCCAACGATATCCGGCAGTGCAACTCAGTCATTGATTCATGCTTCAGTCATAGCATTTCCTCCTTTCCTCTGCTTGGAGCAAACATCCTATTACCAACTTGTCCTATTATACTGTACATGCTAGAAGCAATCGGAAAACAACTGGAATGCAGAACAGCATGGTGAGTAGATTGCATTATAGTTCTCCTTACACATATCTGTACCTTGCATAATAATCTATATTTCTTCTGTGTTTTTTCTAATAAAAACGACTAGCATTAATCCACACATTACACCACTACCATGACCAGTTAATTTAACCTGATAGTAAAGCCTTCCACCTGAAAACGGTCATTTCTGAACAATTCCCACTTGTATCCGCCTAATTTTCCACCTGCAGCTCTACAGGACAGTACATCCGTGTATTAAGGAGTTGTCGATGGAGAAAGTAGTGCATTTAGAACTTAAATAAGTTATCGTGGGAGAAAATAAGCATGCTTTCCTGCTGCTAATTCCTGTCCTAGGGAAATCTGTAGCACCTCCAGGTGGACAGCAAACGTCCACTCACACTGCCTGCTGTGACACATGCCCATTCTCAAGAGATCCAGGGGAGACAACTGAGCATATGTGGCTTCTGAAAAGTCACGTACACCTCTGGGGTATTATGATAAAACATACTGTATTAAAGCTGCCTACAATGCAACTTGACCATCCATCAATTCAGCTTCAATAACCGTTTAGTCCCGTATACTACAGGGTGGCAGGGAGCAGGCAGACAATGGACACATGGTGCTATTCACCTCGGATGTGAAGCTAGTCCACCAAAGGGCACACGATGACACAAGGAACGCGTTAACACGTGTTAACCCCGGCCCCGCCGTGCTGCCCCGATAATAACCAGCTCAAGCCACATACAGTTTGATCGCAAGCGCAACTTGCTTCAGCTCCTACTGTACTCCTTACTGCAGCGTCATGCTGGGGGAACTGAAAACGAAAGCTATTTCACCACCGCTGCCCAGAAAACACCTCATGCATTCGTCAAAACCACAGAAATACCAACAATAAACGTTTTGCAGCTGTATGAACCGCAAACCCCCCCATCATAAACCGGCCGATCCGACGTGGCCCCCGGCTGAAGTGTTTTTCGCCGGCGTCCACCCTCCTCCCCCCCGTTCAGTCCGGGGGTTGAGCCGCCCCCCCCACCGCACGCCTTTTTTTCAGGGTACGCGTTCAACGTGGAGACGGAGGTGTGACTCGGTGCTCTGCAAGTTGCAACATCCCAGGCACATGTACAGTCTTATTATATATATTTTTTTGGGGGGGGGAGGTTGACGCGCAGCCAACGAGAAGGCAGCGCGGCGAGCAGCTCCCATCCGGGTACTTCCCTCTCCGGGTTACTGTACTACAGTACAGAGACGCGGCGGCGACACTAGCAGGTAAGCGAGCGCCACGGGAGAGAGCAGAAAAATGCGGGGAAAGGGAACTTTCTTTTTATCCCACCGCCCCGCCACCGCTGTTAATGTACAACCAGAGAGCCAAACCGGTGATGGGGAAGGGGAAGGGGGGGGGTGGGATGATCGTACTTGGCTGGGAGGCAGAGAAACGCAGGCGGAGACGGTCCCGCACGGTAGAAGAAGTGTTGGTCCGCGTCGCGGGTGGAGGTGGCGATGGTGGTGCTCGCAGAAGAGAGAGAGGGGGAGGAGGAGGAGGAAGAGGGGGTGGGGGGTCCCCTCCGGTTTTCTTCAAACCCCCCCCCTCCCCTCTTCTGGTCCAGTTTAAATAGAAATGGGGGGATAATAGTCAATCTCAGCCCCCACGTCTGTGTGGAAAAAACCGCCATTTTTCCCCGTTCTAGGTTGGTAAGGAGGAGGAGGAGGATAGAAAGACAAAGTAAAGCTGGAAAGTTTTTTTTTGGGGGGGCTATCAGTTAAGATATTCGCAGGCAGCTCGCTAGCGTTCATGTTTGGAGGGAGGGAGGGAGGAACAGGGGGGGTGTTATTGTATGAAAGACTCGAAAGGGGGTGGGAGAGGGTAGGTCCGTCCAAAGCGTGAAAGGTTACACGGTGGTGTGTGTGTGTGTTTCAACGGTGTCCCCGTTTGGTGAAAAATTCTTGGGTAATTTGTCCTCCCCCCTCCTCGCGTCCGGGCGGGTCGCCGACCTCTTTCTGTAAAGGAACTGCAAACTAATGAGCTAATTTGTCAAGAGACAACTGCGCGAAATCTCACGGCGAGCCTGGCCGGGCAAGAGCACATTTGGACATATTTCTTGTTCCGTTTTTTTTTTTTTTAATCTGATCAGTGGGTTTCCCCTTTTTTCGGAAACTTACCTCGCCACTGTTTTGTGTGTTCATCCTATGGAGAGAAATGCTAGCTAAGGATCCCCCGCGTAACACCTGAATATCCCCTACCTTTTTTTAAAGTTAATTAGCTGCTGGAGACCACAGGGGCATCTTACGCATTCGTTTCTTATTTAAAACGAAAAGTCAAGATTCCGTCAATCGTTTGTTTTATTGCTGGTGCAGTATTTTTTTTTCCTTCCCTCGCAAACAAGCTCCTGGCACAAATTACGGCAACTTTATTGATTTAGTGGGAATTAAATTATTTTAATAGGTGTTAAGACCATGGTTTAAGCTTCTAGTATCTATAAATGGGTGGGTGGGGGGTGTGTGTGTGCGTTATGATTGTCCACGTATCAAATTTACAGTATATTGCAACCGTGTGTTCATCGCGATTCCACTACTTTTCCTTTTTTTTTTAATCAGTCACATTTACTTATCTTTACCTATTCAACCTATTTGAAGGCTGGAAGTCCCCGCCCCTTCTCCTTTCTGATTGGGCTTCCCGGACCGACGTGCGCTCTGTCATTGGTGAACACGGCTTGTCAGTTTGTCCCACCTCCGTCACTTCCACTACCAAGTTAGTGTGAGTGGGAGACCTTGGCCTTGCGGAGCTTGGATAGAGGGGGGAGGGGAGGAGTCGTGCCTCCTCCATAATTCTTAGCAATGTATAACGGAGACGGTGGAGACTGAGACCACTGTAGTAAAAATTATGAATTGCATGGATCAGCCTTACACGCACGCACACACACATGTGTATAGAAAGGAAATCCTGTCCGGAATAGCAAAAAAAAAATCATTTGATTACGGCGAATTCAAATCACACAGTACTTCAATTGCACGAACAGAGAGCACGTTAAAGGCCCGATTACCATATAAGTGTATTTATATAAAAGTAGTAAATGTGATAAAAAAAAACAATGAACATATCCAAATGCCGTGACATAAGGAAATCTAAGATTTTAATGCCTAGTTTTGGAAGAAATTAATAGATTTAAATTTTAGTAGGTTTTGACTTCTAGCCTTGAAAAAGAGGGTTAAATTTCAAAGTGCCCTATATCCGTATCTGATGACATATTTTAATCAATTAATTTTAATTCACATATGCAAACAGAGCATTAATAATAATAATAATAATAATTGCTTACACTTATATAGCGCTTTTCTGGACACTCCACTCAAAGCACTTTACAGGAAATGGGGACTCCCCTCCACCACCACCAATGTGCAGCATCCACCTGGATGGATTAAGAAAAAAACACATGTATAACTATTTCCTAGACTTCAGAAAATAATTTTCAAATGTATACATTTTAAAAAATATTGTAAGTTTATTTTCTGGTACTTACAGATTCTCAGTTTTTTTTGCTTTGTATTTACACTTAATGGAAGGCTTCTTATACCTTAGAAGTGGCCCTGGATAAGCACACCTGCTAAGAAAATACACAATTAAAATGCATGGATTTAAACTTTTAAGAAATCGATTTACGTGAGCTGCCATGAGCTGATGAGATGAGGTCACAGCCACCTGCATCTGAACACCGTCAGCTTCAACATGGTACACACGTGAGGAAAACAATCCTTAACTGCACTGCTTGTCCTTTACTATGCAATATGCTGTTTAAATTGTGCAATTTATAAATTATGATTTATGTCCCTCCTTCACACTGGATAAAGGCCAATTGGCACTGTAGGGCAGGTAGTTCTGCAGAACAATTCAAACTTCATTTGAATGAGATGAGAGGTGAATCTTTGCTGTTGCTGCATGGGATCTTAATGTATTCCTACTTATTTATTTAAATAAAACATTACATTAGCTGGGCTTTAATGTCTGCGGGGCAATGCTTGCACCCAATCATACGTTTTGGAATTCCTGTACTGCCAGAGACTTGTGCTTTTCAGCTGTGCTGCAGCTCAAAACACCGAATAACAAGATGTAACAGAGGCTAAATTCATGTAAAGAGACTGGATTGGGGAGCTGCGTCTGCGTGCGCTTTCTGCAGAGGAACAAGTAGAGATCAATTCCAGACTGCAAAGTAAGTTTTTTAAACTCTGTAGCCAAAACTTTTCTTCTACTTTCTTTCGTTTTGTGTCACAGCATGAAAGATCTGTATAAGTCACACCGGGACATCATTTTCTCTTAAGAAAGTGTGACTGGACTGGAATGTCATATGGCATGAATCTTGTTTTCATAAGTTAAACCATTTTCTCGTCTTATAAAGCCCAAAGCTTTTTGATACGCAAAGCAAAGGCAACGACTGTCTAAGCCAAGGTGCTAAAATGACTGAAATCACCAGTTCTTCACTAAGACATTGAATCGATAGAACCCATATTAAGTGGTACATTTGTTTTATCTAAAAAAAGTACAGCTGTTTTAAAAAGTCATTTCAATGCATTTTTTCAATACTTAAAAAAGCACATTGCTCAAATTAAGGAAAATTCTAAAGCCAGATATAAAAGAATGCTGTGGGATTTAACTTCCAAACTCACAAAATGTCATAACACACACTAACTGCATATTGTAACTGAAGTAGCTCTTATATGGATTGCTGTGTGTGTAATGATATCACATTAACAGCCACATCCTTCCTAACAAGTCACATGGGACTCAGATTTTTGCTTGTTAAGGTGCACATATAAAGAACTTAAGATACACAGTTTTCATATTTCATATTAATTTCCTAATTGTTTTTAGAAGGGTAACCTCTACTGTCTAATGGGTTATTTGTTGATACAGGGTATCATTTGACATTTTTTTTTAAATGTTGAAAGTTTTCAACCATATAAAATAGTGCACAGATGTTTGAAACACGCAAAAGCCAATGCAAATGTTTATTTTTCTGCCAGTTTATATTTTGTTTCTGTAAGTGGTTTTATTTGTAAAAGCTGTACGGACAGTCCAAATAACGCAATGTTTTTTGGGGATTACAGACGTCTACCACAGCTCCCTGGATCTAAAACCTGCACCAGTAAACAGTAACATAAAAAGGACAGAAAGATTAAGATGCTGCCTTACATTCTGGCCAATAAAGATATTCAATGTGTGAAACGGACAACATCAAACAATCATATGAGAGGTGATTTCATTTTTGGAAAATAAAACTAAACAAGGAGCAACCATTATTCTGTATTTTGCTTATATCAATTAGAGGCCCACTACTGGTTGTCAGTAATGATAAAAACTGTTACAAGGTAATGGGGATTTAACTCAATAGTGTCAATTTTCACAGCCATTGAAGCTAACGTCTTGTTAACCTTGAAGCAGCTGTAATTTTCTGTAACGCCATTTTTTGAATGCACTTTCATGTCTTTAGTATACTAGCCCTACATGATTCCTTTCCCACAATAAAAACATTTGAGTTTTTCTGTTAGTTTTCTTTTTAAATCGTGCTCTGTCCCTGCCAGATCTATTTGTTTTTTTGCTTGAGAAAACCAGGAATCACCCGGCATTTGCGCGTTGACTGTTCTTGTCGCTGGATCTCTTCAATATTTCACCCCGTCCTCCGTCAAAAACCCTTCTCCCCAGCTACCAAATAAGTAACTAAAATAACTAAAACCGACTGGCTGTTTCCGTCGCTGTTTGCGCCGACTTATATGACCGTTTCTCACTGGTACCTGTAACGGCCTGAATTTAAACTGCCTTCAATATCCAGCACAGTGGATTTCCATATTTATCCCCTGTTTCTTTGACAAGTTGGTATAAGTCATTGCCGGTCTGAGGGGCGGAAGAGTCTCCAAGCCCAAAATGATTAGAGGAGAGTGGTATTTTCTCTTTTCCTAGAATTACATACATATACAGTATAACCGGTGCCGCTTCTTATAACAAAAACGGCGTTGTCCAGTACTTAATTATTTTTAACCCTAGTTTACATATTATTATTATTATTACAGTATCGGCAAAATGTTTTTTTTTTTAAGAGAAGCGACGTGTGAATCGGTATCAGCCTACACTTCATTTACTTCTGCCGAAATGCTCTTTTTTTTTTCAAAACCCAGTCCGGACAGAGACGGATGTGGTGTTTTGAAATTAAAATTATACCAGTAAGAGACGGGCGGTGATAAATAAGCGAGCGAGACCAATTATCTTTCATTCCTTTCGTCAACACGCAGAACTGGTTTCAGAAGAAGTGTCCCGAACCCCCTGAAGTTGACAAACTGTCTCGCCGGCGTTTCTGCATTTCACTGTCCTCGCTGTTCCAGCCGAGCCGTCCAAACCCGCAGGTGGGTCAGCTGTTTCTCCTCCCATTCTGCGTCCGCAGTCTAATAAATCGGTTTGAAAAACGAAAACCTCGTCGGCAGTTTCATATTTAATAATAATAATAATAATAATAATAATAATAATAATGAATAATTGTCCTGGCTTGGGTGCGACTTTAAAGTTCAGACCGCCACACGTTTCAGGGCAGAGGTATAACGTGTCAGCTGTACTCGACAAACCAAGCTCTGGAAAAATCTGAAGTGAATAATATACTTGAGCTAGTCCCGACAGTCATTTGGATCTGACTATATGAAATATCTCAAGTGTGAAATGTACATATACTATGTACATGTACTCCACACCTGAAGAAGGCTCCACGGCCGAAACGTTGTGTTCTCTTTCTTCTTTTTTTCAGCATGGAATAAACCTGTTACTTGTTCATATACTATGTAGATTAGTGGTTATGAATAGCTGTTAGATCAGAATATTCAGTATATATGCGTTGGAAGTTTGCACATGTGTTTCACTTCATGGGACACTAAAACCCCTGTCTGGGTTCAGAATAAGTTATTTTGTACTGACAGCGGCTTCACTACTCTGTAGCCTGGTGTTCTCAGAAACCAGAAGCTGACCGAGACCTCTGAAAGATGACCACGTTGTTGCTGCAGCTGGTGCCGGAGGAGCAGTAACTGGTTTTGCTCCTCCTGGACCAGAATGGCTAAAACCAGTGCTCCCAGCGCTGTGCCCAGAGACCCCGTGCTGTGAGAGGAGCCAGACCTTAGGAAGAGACATTAAACTATAGCCTCAGTTTCTCACTTCTTCACTTGTGCAGTGAGTGGGGTCTGTTCTAGAAGCGCTGTGTAGATGTAAAATGCTGTAAACTATTACATCGGCCACTAGGGGGCAGCAGCTGTTCTTGGTACCCACCCCAGGGACTACATCTAGTTGTGTGTAGTTGCTGTTTTAGCTAAATACTAATTTAGCACAGAGATGTACTAACCACGGAATCACCCTTAGCATGCGGCTTTCAGTATGTTCCAATGGATTCAAAGAGACTTTTTTACCGAGAAAGGCGTGTTTGCGCAAGGATGCACATGCGATAGGTTTTCTGACCAGCAGGGGTCTCGGTTGCAAAACGATTGTGTGACGTTATACATAATACACCCAACAACAGATATTTAATTAAAATGATGTACTCTTCCAAAATGTTAATATAACTGGAAAAATGTTTTTTATAAGCATTTTCTGAACAGTTTTGTTCTTGAATAGTTATTAAAGTAATCTCCAGTCTTCCTTGCTAACGTCTTTAGAAATAAGATAAGGCCTTGTTTTTAAATCAAGCCTGATCCATTAGACTGATTGATTTAAGGAACAGAAATTCTGTAACTCACCTGTTTAACTGAATTTACAGGGACACGGTAAGCTTTAGCTCAGTAGTCTTGATATTTACTAGAGGGGGGTATATAAATATATCAAATAAGAACTCCCTGATCAAAGTGTTGGAGGAAAGCAAATAATTGAATAAAAAAGGATTTAAGAATTTTTCCAAAAAAGTTTGAAAAAAATTTGAAGATAATGCTGAAGTCTCGGAAATACAGTGCAGAACGTTTCGATTTGGCTGCATAAGCAGTGTATGCTCTTTTAATAATATTTGAACTATTTTGTTGCATGGTATCTACAGATGGTGAAACTCAGGCAATCTTGGGATGATACATATCACGTTCCCATGATACGTAATTGTGCTATTTAAGGGGTTCATTATAGGCCTTTCAATACCAGAAATAAAGTTTTGAAACTTCAGTTTATTTATTGCTATTTATTTTAATAAGCAAGACTCAGTTAATCTGTTGAGTGAAGTTCATTCTCCAAATGCATTTCCCTTCCTTGGACAACTTTAACTTTTGAAGTGTATAAAATGATAAATAACACTTGAACGCTTTCATCAATGCGGATAAAATGTTGCGTAAAAGTAGGTCTCTTATGCAGAGTTTGTGAACGATCATGATGGTTTAAATACTGCCTTGACTGTTGAACCCAGAGCCGTTAAAAGAGGAAAACGAATGAAAACTTAAAAGCTGGGAGTGAACAGCATCCCTGCTTCACTGCCGCAGAGTTTTGTGGCTGAATGTGGCGGTGTTTATGCACGGAAAAAGGAAAGCTGTGCAGAGCAGGTGTAGATTCCAGCGCTCATATCACAAAAGAAAGCTGGAAGCTTAAGAGCTGCTTAAGAAGCAGGCATAGTCAGTGAAGTCAAAAGTGTGCTGCAGGTTGAACTACTCCCACCCCACGGGCAGCTGATATACGACGACGATGAGCTAAAACGAGTCAGTAGCGTACATACATGCAATTGGCTCAGAGAACATGGCGAGATGTTACACTGGCGCAGTGCAGCCAACTGCAGCCTCTCTGGTGCGGGTGTGGGTTTACGCAGTCAGGTCCTGTGAAAATGCAAGCGCACCAGTGTGACTCTCTTCTTTCGGCTTGCTGGTTACGAACTGCACCGCCTCCTGCGTTCTCTCGCTTGCGTTTTGCAAAGCCTCCACGGGTTTCCAAACTTTGGCTTCGGTTCAGATTGAGCCGGGGGAAAGTGGCAGATAAGTAATAGGTGCCTGAAACACTGAGTTATGCCGGGCAGCTTTTGTGTTGGTGTGCTGTCCTGGAATCGAGACAAAGTTGAATTAAAAAAAGCCAGGCTGTATCAGCTGAGGGGACTCCAAATGAGTTATTCACATAGTTTGTTTTAGATTGTCTTGGGAAGAGTGGGGGGGGACTGAGCCTAATGTTTTAAATTGGAGAAGAGAATTTTTAGATTTGTTACTGTAAAACTTTAAAGAAGTCTCCCTCGGGACAGTTACTGTACATAACAATAACAGCATGTATAACCACCTGCTAGTTCTATAAGTGTAGCTCTTTTGATCGTTATGGTTAGTAAAGTTTTAAAGTTTCCCAAGGATACCCTGGGTGACGGGTTTTTTTTTGTTCAGCCAAATCTTAACAGTATCCAATAAATCGGTAAGATCACTGTTATATCTTATTATAAGAGCTAGTTGTGGATAATGCAATATCATGTACAGTTCAGAAATCAAGCGATTGTTTTACTGAGCCCAGGGGTAAACGTGGCTGTGAGTGGGGACTTTGAGAAGACTGGGAACTCAGTGCAGCTCATTGTTCTTCTTAGAAAAATGTTATTCCACCGAAATGAAATAGGCTGTTATCATAGAAATATTACGTTAAATAAAGCAATCTGGCTGCACCAAGTTCAAAGAAAACCTAAATTAAAATGCATCAGTCCCAAAGTCACGCAGAATAATTCCAAAAGAACCTTTATTTTTCCTGTCATGACAGCTGATTTTGCTCAATAACCGTGACACACTGGAGTCTGTTAAAACCGGTTTTGATGTCTCGCTGTTGCTCATTTTCCTATTTGCAATGAATTATTCCGATTTTAAGAGAAAATCCCATTGGGGTTATTGTTAGGAGGGACAGATTTATGACAATGCGGTTCCATGGCTCATCCTGTGACGCAGTCAGACTCAATGAATGGGGAATGCATCAGCAGGTTTTATTAACAGGCTGTGGCATACGTTGCTGTCCAAGGGTTTGCCGGGTTTCCTTGGTAAGTACTTCTGGTACGAGAATGTGCAGAAGCAAGCTGAAATCTCCAAAAATCAAATAATAAAGGGGAAAAAATGTGGTCGCTTTTGCCTGTGAATGGTTTTACTTAGCCAAAGGCCCCTGTGAGATCCTTTATTGAGCTAATCTAATGAAGGCCTTGTGCCAGTGTCTTATAACGGTTTGTGATTTTTGTCCCAGTGCCAATGTGTTCTTTATTTATCTGTGTTTGGGGGTATTTTGGACCAACTGCTTGCGCCCATCTGTGCACTGGAATACTAAAATAAAAAAAAAAATAATGCTTTTGATTAAATTCTAACGATGGGTACTGTGGGTTCAAGAAAGCAGATCTGGGATTTATGCCAAGCCCTGGCAGAATCTTAAAACGTGTGGCTAAATAAAAATCATTATTCATATGTTTCTATAAAAGAACAACGCAGGTCGCTGGTACGTGTCTGTGTGTGTTAGTGTGTTTTTTTTTCCAAGTATTCTTTTGCTACTCAGGGTTTGAGCTCAGTTTGTTTGAAGGAACGTCATCTTTGCTTTTGAATATTAATGTAGCTGAATACGAGGCTAGTTTTGTCAGTGAATTAGCATGCATCAGAAGTAAGGCTTGTCTTTTCATCAAGGCTTTGTTCAAAGACGTACTTATTGTCTCAATGTTAGAGCAAGTTATCTTTGGAAAACCGAAATAATTTTACCGTAAGAGGTTTTGCTTTTAACTAGCGTCACTGCTATCCAAGTTTTCCTCGTTTTTTTTTTATTATTTTGGATTTCTAAAATTCTGTTTACTTCCATTTACGTTATGTCTTCCGTGAAAATGCTCATGGCTTCTTTTTGTTTTCTGCAGACGGGCTGATGCCAAGAAGTGGATTCCGATTTCTTGCACGTCTGTGTGGCAAGTATTACCCTATTGTGGGAGGGGGGGAGAGAGACGCAAATTATTTTTTAAAAGGGTACATAAGCCTTCTTTTATATATCCAATAAATACACATTCATATATTTCTGTGTATCTTGTAAAAATGATGTAATAATATAGCTTTCTAGCTTTACTAGGTTTAAAAATCCACAATGATACGAGGGTCGAAAACAGTTATTACTCGGAATGACAGGAGCTACGTCTTAGCTAAGTTAAAAGAAAAATTAAGCAGAGTATTCCTGTACTCGATCAGATTGTAAACTTTGGCATGGTAAGGTAACATGGCTTAAAAGCAGACAAGATGGCGACTGAGTCTTAACAACTAAGAAAGTGGCGCGTTTCAGAAAGACGGGTTCTTTTTCGGCTCCGTCTCTTTTAACAGTTTAACATCATTTTCACTGTCAAATAGAGAACGGTGACTTTCTGGTACACAGAACTGAAGTACGACGTCCTGGCATATTCGCCTGGCAGAAAAGTCAGTAAGCAGCCAAAACAGGCACACAATAAAAACATGGCTTCCTGGCGCATCGAGGAAGCCCGCGTCATGGTTAGCTTCCCTCTCGCTCTGCTTATTTACGTGGAGCAGCGAGGAAGTGTGCTGGACCCATGGCGAGCTCTTTGCCAGTATCTGCCGCACAGAGGCAGATTTATTTTATTGCCAGCCCTCCTGACCTGCTACCCAGCTCAGGGAATACCTCCTCGACTTCCCGCACAATATTTTGTTTAACCAGCCAGAGACCGCAGTACTCGTTTAGCTTCACTTCGCGTCTCGATCCGAACGGTCGAAAACTTTTTGTCGATGCGGTGCCACCAACACCGCTCCTCTGCCCTGCGAGGTCTTCCCAGGTTAACTCTTTTATAGCTGCTGGCGGGCTCTGACCTGCCAGCCCAAGTCACCACTGCCAGGGCAGCAGGACTCTCAATGTCACATCCAGACAGGAGGGGACAACAAGAGAAGACCAGAAGACGAAGACTTTCGTAGGATTCGCACAGTGAGGGCTGTGTCGGGCTTAAAATGACTTTCTCGGCACGTGTTTCAGTGGTTCTGCGATACATTTTCAAAGGAGAATTTTTGCCATCTCTGTAAATATGATATATCTGTTAGGCTGTTTGCTTTTTGCCTTGCCAGGCACAAAGAAGATGTGTGCACTGTGGGATGAGGTAGTAGGTTGTATAGTTTTAGGGTCACACCCACACTGGGAGATAACTATACAACCTACTGTCTTTCCTAAAGTGGCAGAAAATCATCTGTGACATTCTCCGACTCATCTCTACCTACGACGTTTTAAAAAAATGAGGATTTGTCATCGTCAGCATCGCCTTTCTTAAGAGGGGAACATTTTCCAGCCTTATCCGCATTATCATAGGTGGACTGCCTGGATAGTTGATAGAAATACCGATTTAACAAGAAATCTTATTAGATTCTAACAGTGTAGTAGCAGGAATATTGCTCAAAGTTCTGCATAAAGCACTAAATCAAGTAATAATGCCTATTAGAATTAACTAATGTGGATTCTACTATATTCACAAAACAGTTTAATTTGAAGAGTTATTAAAACTGATGCACAGTGGAATAAAGTAGTTCAATTATTTTGCTGTATCTGTCTTAGTTCTCTCACCATAGCGCTGAAAGTGTTTCTGACCCATTTTGAAATCAGTTACTAATACAAGAGGGATAGATGAGGACCCATTCTAATGATTTTACCTTGAAATGAAGTACATGTATTCAGAAATTGCTCTGGCAGTGTGAGGTAGTAGATTGTATAGTTGTAGGGTAGTGATTTTGCCCTCTTTGGAAGATAACTATACAATCTATTGCCTTCCCTGAAGAGCAGAAAAGCAGCATTATCCATTATACAGTATACTGTTATACTTATTTTGTGCTTTAATATTGTAATAAGTTGTCTGGAGTAAGAATGTGTATTTGGAGCTAAGCAATTTTATAGTTTTCTTTGACCTTGTTTAAAATATGTATTGGTTTGTGATCTGGGCATCATCTCAGCATGGCTGGGCAACTTGAATCAATAAATCCCATTCAAGCCAACAAACTCTGATGTCCATTTCCCAGATAGCACAGCAGTGAGTCCAAGCAGAGCTGGTGGTCAGGTGTACTCGGGAGGGGTGGGGGTGTGTGATCAGTGCCTGCTGGAAGGAGCTGTCTAGATTGTGAGCTTTGAGGGCACTCAGCAGTCATCAGAACTGATCTCCCATGTGTGGGGTACATCAGTGGCACTCAAAATCATTCCGAATTTAAATCCTGAGAATACGGGGGAAGAAATGAAACCTGCCATTTCAATCAGGCAAATCCAAATGCTTAGCACATTTGCTCATTTTGTGGGAAGGGAGGAAAAAAAAGCAAAACAGGACCCATTTGAAAGCAGGACAGAAATCACTGTTCTGAGAAATGCAGTTACGTGGCTTAATGGCTTACATTGTGATGTGCAGTGGAAGTACATTTGTCCAAGGGCCGGATAGCAATTACTACAGTGCATATTCCAGTTCTGAATGTGCTGTGTACAGACCAAAAGCTTGACCAGTGAAAGTGAGAGGAAAGCTGGGCTCTTAGGTAGAAGTAGCAGGTTCCATAGTTGTAGGGCAGCAATCTTATCCCACAGGAGGTAACTATACAACCTGTTGCCTTTCTTAGTGCTACACGGTTACAGCTATCTAATTTTTAAAAATACATACCCATATGTAAGCTAATTTTTTTAATGAATAACATAGAAAACAAAACACAAAATACATTTTTTATGCTATTTGGATACAGTCATTCCAAAACAAAGGATGAAAAAATGACATTTCAGTATCAATGCAAAAAAGAAATAGCACATCAGAAATCACCTCCAAATGTTTTCCTCATAAATGCATTTTTTATTTTAAATCCCACACAATGGCAGTGAAGGCCTGGGGTCAGATGAATGTCTATTAACTATTGTCGCATTGTCTTTTATACCTTCTCTTCTCTTCTCCAAAGGCATATTCTGTGCAGGAGTTACTGTGTCACAGAAAGACAGATTAAGCTATGTCAGAGTCACTGTCTCTTCTGCGGAGCCAGAATCCTAACAACCTCACAGATGTATGTTTCATTTTGTTAAACAATTAAACCACAGAAGGTCATGGAAAGACCTCGTTTCACGTTTCAGCCTCGAGGCTGGATTATTAAAATAAGAAGTGTGATTTTTAAAAATAGGACAAGTGTAAATGGGTAACAAATAGCTCCCTATTTTGTATATTAATAACGAATAATAAATGCATTTCACACAATTAACTTGACTTGAGTATTCTTTATTGAATAGTAGCTAACTGGGTCTTTTTAACAAGGTAGTGCATAATATTAATACAGTACTCTATGAAAAAGGACCGGTTTTAGAAGGGAGAATCAAAGATTTATACTGTCCTAATTTAATGTTTAAGGAACTTGGTTAAGCCATAATATTTCAAAACACATGGGGTATAGGTCTCTGTTCAAACAAAGCCTGAGCTCTGCAGTTGAGATAGCACTGGTGGGACTGCAGGCTGTTCTTGGCTGACTGTGCCTGTCATTGTCCATACCAGAACTGTCCAGTACAGCCCAGGCTGGGTGTGTCTGCAGCTGGCCTGCTGTTTTTTGGCTTGCCCCACTGTTGGCAGTGAGAGCTGCATCCATCTAATGTTTATGTGTTGGTTATAAAGCCATTTCTGGAGGCGGGACAACAACAAAGTTCAATCAGCCTCAGCTGTGAAATCAGTTCTGACACCCTTTCCTCACGTACACATAAATTACAGTACAGTATTATTATAAATACTGTACTGTGTTCCCCTTCTCTCCCTCGCATTCATCTTTTACATCCTTCCTCCACCCCATCTCCACCTCTGCAGCTGCCCTTGGTCACTCCTCACTCTGAATGGGGGTCCTGGCCACCTCGTCCTCTGGCCAGGAGCTCAGCCCTCAGCCAGGCGGGCTTAGCCAAATGTACTGTGACTAAAACACTCGATAAACCTTTCAATATGCTTCATTCTCGGGGTGTGTAATTCCTAGTGAACTATATTTTTTGGACTACAGGGATGTGAAAGGAAGACCTCAAATGACACCTACATGTAGCCCCCACTTTCCCTTAACTGGCATCAGAGCCATAGCCATTTCTGAAACCAGATCACAACCTAGCAGTCAAAAAAAATATCAAAAAGGTTCCTCCATTTCAGAAAATGTATCCAGTCCAGTGATACACTTGACAATTGTTTTTAAACAAAAAAAGGAGAATCCAAAGTGCAGTTTCTGATAATAACCCATCCATTTTAATTTTGTATGACATTCTTAAGCATGCTTACAGTTTTGCGATTTTTTTAATTCATTTTATCTTTGGCATGTGCTGATTTGTGATTTCTTATTCATTTTATCTTCCTCCACCTCACCTCCCACTACATGTCCTTAGTGCGCCGTAGTCTGAGATGTTTCCTAGATAAGTCATTAACGATCATTGGTTACAATAATTAGGTGTAAACATTTACCGTAGGCATTTGATTATGCACACAAGACCTTGTGGACTTGATATTACTGTTATATTGATCCTAAACTGAAATACTGAGGCTTTAAGGATGCATTATGACTATGTACTTACTTGGGTAACAGCATTCCCATTGTAGTTAAAATATATACCAGAGTTCAAGCAGCAAATAAACCTCCACAGTCCTCATAGACGCAAGTGGCTTACTTTAAGCATTGAATGAGTATGCTTTCAAAACATCTTTTCCATTCACAGCTGCCACTGAAGCCACGATGCTTGCATAATCACAAGCCACATTTGTAAAGCCCCTGCAAAAATAAACAGGCATGCCTCATAAAAAAGGATAATATGCATTGCTGTTCAGCTGTAACTGGATAATGAAGCTTTTTGGATACAGTTTGTCTTAAATTCTTTACCCTCACCCACTTCAAATGTAATTCACACATTGCTACATAATTCAAAGTCATAAAAAATTATTTTCTACAAGTGCCAACAGTACTAAACCTGCTTTTACAGCCTATCCCTTTGTCTGATGAATTGGACAGCTGAAAGGCATTTTCTATAGAGCACCAGTTTTAGAAGGAAAAGTTGCCCTTGGCTTATTAAGGAGTAACTAGAGGTTAGATTTATCAAAAAAAATCTGTGCTTTAAAATTGGGAGGCATGACGCCTACCTGGAATACATATGTGATCCTCCTAACAAGTGGTACCGACTTTCCAAGGAGAGGTTTTTGTCCTTTTCTTTTTTCCAAGTTAACACTCGCAGGGACAGGTCATGAGAGGCAGTGACAACACGAAAAGAATCCTGCAAGAATAAACAATTCACGATTCGTGGTCGTTGTTATACTAATGCAATGCAGCGATAAGACTTGACGGGACCCGTGCCAGGTACTCACTGCACAAATCGCGGAGATGGGTTTCATGTGGTCCTCAAAACTCGCGAGCATGGCTCCTTGGAGGTTGTAAACCTTCAGCTGGTTCTGCGTGGCTGTCAGAATTGTGCCACTCCCACGTCCTTCGAGAAGTATATCCGAGTGCCATCTGCCCACATCTAACTGGAATGTTCCCACCAGCTCAGCTTTTAAAAACAAACTCAGTTAGGGACAAACAGCAATACTACGAACACTGCTTGAAACATGGATTTTTTGTGGGACTCTGTGTAAAGTGATAGATACATTTACATATACTCTTTCATTTTTTTTCCAAAGGTTCCAGTAGCCTTTTAGTAAGGAACCAACTTATTTGAGGGCCGACATAATTGGTTGTATGGGAGAATGCAGCACAATCATCCGTTCCTACAGTATTACTGGTCTTTTCATGCTGTACATATCTTTTTGAGGGTAAAGAGCTTTTGCTCATAAGCAGGTGTGCGCTCTGGGCTTCTGAATGGCATGTCTGGACTAATCCAACTTGAACGCAGAAGAATTGGTGGAGTCTGGAGTTTACGGGTTCGAATCCAGACTGTCCAGGTATTATGAGGGCAGGTCAGTACTCTCTGGGTTCAGTGGCAGCAGCATGCAGTATGGGGCTCTGAACTCTGGACCAGAGCGTTCAAATCCCTGTTGGGAACCTCTGTTACGCCCTTGCCTAGCTGCACACATGCGTCTCCTGATGTCTGGAAATAGATACTGTACATTGGTAACTTATTTCTTGCAGGACTGATTGATGCAATCTTAAATTCCTGCTGTTCAGTCTTGAGTTGCAGCAGCTAGGATTAAAAACAATTAACCATTCCACACTGACTTAAGAAAAGGGGAAAACTGAAAATTGTGCATAATTAAAAAATAGTAGGCGACCTTTACCTATGACCACTGTTTTGTATTTTGTTTTTTTTGACGTGATATCAAAGATCGAGACCGCTGTTGTGGCCCGCAGTCCGTCACTGTGGAGTATGAGCACTCTGGCTGCTTCTGAGGGAAAAAAGCAAGCTGCTAAGCATCCACTGACAGGTAACACCTCAGATACAGGAGTCTCATCTCCAGATGCACAACTCAGACTTTCACAGGAAAAAACCTACAGGAAGCAGAAACATGCTGTTAAAGGGACAGTGAGTCTCTTCAGACTGATGAAATTCACCTCTAAGAGGGATTTTTTTTTTTATTTACCTTGGGACTCAGATCATAGTTGTCCTGCGTTGCAGCAACAATCCACTGCTTGTCTGGCGATGCGAGCAACACATCGATTTTGTAAGTATCAAATGCAACTACATGTGATACCTGTGACAGTGTAGGACTTGCTAGGGTGTAAAGAGAACCTCCAGCTGTACCAGCCTGGTGAAGGACAGAAATGAACAAATCAGGCCACTCAGTGCACTACCCTAAATGTGAATACACATACTATTACAACATGGGAACGACAGGTTTATTCCACGCTGAAAAAAAGAAGAAAGAAAACACAACGTTTCGGCCGTGGAAACGTGGAAACCTTCTTCAGGTGCCTTCTTCAGGTGACAAATGTGATGTGGCAAATTTCAAATGTGGGGCTTGTTTGCCGTTTCTGGGAATCTTATGCTGACTGTTTAAAGCTTGATTACTCTATTAGAGTTCCAGTATCATACAGATACTTACAGTCAAGAAGGGCTGATCTTTGATGCTGTAGTTGATTAATCTGCACGCAGTGGAAGAGGCCGGGAATGCTGCTAGTTCCTCTCCGGTGAGGCCTTTCCAAGCTTTAATTGTTCCACGGCGGTCGGCGCTGATCACTACGCCATTCGGCTGGTCAACGATGATCTTTCTCAGGGGTTCCTGCACAGGTGTCGACCACAACTGACTGCCCTAAGCAGGAATGAAATAGCCATTTAATGAATTGCGTCCATGTTAAGTGAACTTCTCTACTATTCTGCTGCTTATGCAGGCAGTTGGATTCCAGTTAGAGATTTACTTGAACAAAGAGTTAATACGCGTTCGCTGTAGATTCAGTCTAAAACTGCACAAAGAGTCAAAAAGCAAAGCCGACCTGGAATGCAGTAGAAAAATAATAATGGGATACATATTTACCCAACAGGAAATACCATACTAGTTGTCAAAAAAATAAAATCAAGATGCACACTACAGATATTCACAGCCATGTTTCACAAACTGCAGCCCCATGTTAAATATACCATTACGTGCCTCAGGGTCTGATGTACAAATGGTAATATTACCCTCCTGTACATTGTGGTTTTTCTAGCACCTAATGGGATTGCTTTTTTTCCCAGATACTTTCGTACTGGCATACAGTGTGAGATAGAGATCTGGACAAGAACAGAGCACACCTCTTGAACATTCCAAGCGCGGACTGTTCCATCGGTGGATGCACTGCAGACAATGGACATGGAATTCCACGACTCGGAAAGACTGCTGTTTCCTACGAGGTAGGCCATATCAACTATAGCACCTTCGAAAACAAGGGGGCGAGGGGTTGAGAGACAGGCACTTCTACACTGTGAGCCACAGGGAGATACAGAACAACGGCCTCAAATATTTAAACAGCAACACAGGGTACACAACCATTAGAAGGAAATGGACAAATAAGCATTGAATAGAATCCAGCCATCCATTTTCTAACGACTTAATCCAATTTGGGCTTGCAGCAGAAACAGAATCTATCCCAGCAAGCAACGGGCGCAAGGCAGGATACACCTTGCGGGGGACGCCAGTCCATCACACAGTACACACAGACACAGACACGCACACACTCACTCCAGGGCCCAGAAGCCAATTAACCTACCAGCATGTCTTTGGACTATGTGAGAGAACCGGAGCACTCTCTGGAACTGGAAACCTCTACAAACATGAGGGGAACATACAAACTCCACACAGACAGCACCCCAGGAATTGAACCCAGGGCCCCAGCGCTGTGAAACAGCGATTCCTACCATTATGCTGCCCTCAGTATTAAATAAAAATACCTAACAATATTTAAAAGAAAAATTTATGACTCAAAACAGCACCTTTATGATGATTTTATGATTAACGTGCTCTTCTAATGGCAGGACTGAAAAGTACAGCACATACCAGTGTGTCCTCGTAAGGTTTTGCAGGTATAATCTGCTGATGCTCGTCCCATTTCCATCTTTTCCTCTAGCTTTGAGCGGCGCAGGTAATAATTCTTCCACGTCTGCATTCCAGCAGGGAGCCGAGAGAGATTGCAGAAACTCCAGCGACGAAGGCACATCTGCCTGTACAGGAAAGATTTGAAATGCTTTGAAACTCTGCTGAAAGTTCACAATGTTGGTGTAACAAAACTAACGGCACGCTTCTTAGAAATGCATTCTTGGAAACAATGAAAAATACTTGAAATGCTTAAAATGTTTACAGTTTTCTGACATTCATGATAACCTTAACCACAAACACATTCACAGAAAATAAACACTCCCTTGAGATGCGTGCTGTAAACAAAAAAAATATCAAGGTGGGAAGTTTGAAACCTGTATCAAGCAGGAAATCACTGGAATGCAGTTAACAGTCAAATTTTACGAATCGTGTTCATAGTCTGCCCTCCTGTGGACAAGAATGGAATCATTCAAAGAAACAAAACAGTTCACCAGCTCTGTGGATGAGAAAGATCTGTAATAGATTTAATAGAGAACTCTCTCTCTTCATAGATGCAATGGTAATGGGACAAACATCAGGAAATCCCTTTTAGCAAACAGAACATAAATGGAACCCACTGCTCACAGTCCATAACTACAATGTCATTTTTATTATGATTCTGTATACTCTATTTGTATGTGATTGTTTTGTTTTTTAGTATTCATAATAAAAATAAAAATGCTGCAGACATATATTTATTGGGGAAATCAAGAGTGTTTATCTGTAAAATATCTATAAAATCTCCACACCGGCATCCTCAAGACCTCAGTACCTGCAGCCCCAGTATGCTTGGGAGTTCTTCTAGTCTTGTTCTGCATATTTTTGCATCGCTATACTACACACAGTTCGGTGCAGCTAAAATGAACACAAAAACATATACAAAAAGTTAATTATGTACGAGTTCCACACAACCTCACCTCCATAGCCAGGGTGTATCTGCAGCTTCATTCCAAAACTGAAGAAAAAAAAAAGATAAATGTTATTGTAAACCTCTTTTCAAACCTTGGATCTCAATTTTTTTACTTTCTTGTCTTACAGACAAAAAACATACATGGACATTTAAATTTTTTTTCACCTTTTAACTCCTGAAATGGAGTGCAGCATTATACACATACACATATACATTCCTGGTACATTTTTAATTCATACATACTAAAATGTTCATACTGAAAATACTCTTTAATTCATTAGCTTCAAAGAAGCTAAATACAACATAGTATTTAAAACCATATAAAAATAAAATAATAAATAAATCAGTTTCCTGGTCCTGGAGGAACGTCTCCTCTCGTTTTTGTTCCAGTTAAGTTCTTTATCACAGGCCAATTGATTTATGTTTTTTTTTTAAATTTATTTTGAATATACTACACGTTGAATGGAATTCGTAATGGGTACTCGCTCTCCTGCAGTTTCTGAATATTATTCATGAGATTTCTCATTATGGTGTGATACTTTACCTGTAATGTAACCAATGTGGACTGTATTGTGGGAAGGACTGAGAAACGGTTAAACTGTAGTAAGAAATCGGAAATCTGCCTTAAATTTTGTTTGCTCAAGGCGTTGGAATCCACGTAAAATTAACACTACAATTCAATACCCAGTTGCGCCAGCCACAGAAAGGTTTCGAATGGATATTAAATATTAACCCAAAGTTTTAGAAAAGCAAGGATTAATGACCGATATTGGCACATGTAAGAAGACAAACTATGAAGATATAAGGGGAAGGACAGGAAACTATTGCTCATTTGGACACATAACTATAACGTTTGGATCTGCGGTTCCGGGTTCTTGTCCTGAAGGATCTCTTCCTGTTTTCATTTCAACTCTCATTTACCTAAGTGTTTAATTGAATCCTTAATACAATTAAATAATGTGCTTTTTTAACCCGGTTATACTGATATCTGCTCTCAAACAGGCAGAGATCGTATATTTTGGGATTAAACCAGACGACACGACGACTTTTCATTATTTGCAAGAAACGCTCCGACTCCTTAAACATGAATTACTTTACGTTTTACACAGCATGTGCATTTATATTGCAATGAAGTGAAAACTCCGGGCTTTAAAAAGTTTGACAGAGCAGGGAGAGACTGCGACATTTTCTGTAAGAAAGCAGAGGCATACTGAAATTTTGGTTTTAGTAGGTGGTAAAAATCTTTAAAACACTCAAAACATTTCGTGGTGACACAGAATGGCTATTATCACTGGATTTCATTTATATGGTTTTCTTTACCTTACTGACTACTGAAGCTCTGAGCAGGTCATCTTCATCCAGATAGGAAAAAATGCAAATTAGACAGTCCACAGTTAGCTGGGATAAACTGGAATCCATTACAACAACAGCACTACTGTAAACCCTTGCTAAACACTAAATACAGCTACAGTATATGTTGCATTCAACTTCCGTTTGTGCGTGTTTGTCTTTCTCCCTCAACCGATAATGTATTTTCTGCTACAGTGTCTCAGAAAGGACAAACTTATTAAACGAGCTTTTCTATCCGGATTACGTTAACGTTAACTATTGCATTT